CATTATATTCTTCAAAATATGACTTGCATCATTATAATATTCAAGTGCCAGATTATAACAATGTATTTGATGGTTGGAATCATCCTCTTGATATTTATAATTGCCTTCATGATATTTAAAATCACCAAAAATCAATTTTGCTAAAACTTCTTCTTTAGGATATATTTCCGCCTTTTTTTTACAAAAAAAAAAAAAAAAAAAGAATTAAAAATTTTGCACTGATAAATTTATAAAATATTTATATTTCATATAAATGTGATTTATTGTCTACTTTATTTTGATACTCTATAGCCTCATTTAAGTTTTCTTCGCTTTTTTTCCAAAATTGTCTGTGATATTCCAGCTCAGCAAGGTTTAATAAAAAACAACTCATAGCTGTGCAGGCTTTTGTTTCTTTAATCAACAGCATTCCTTCTTTGAAGCAACAATCAGCTTCCTTTGGACATCCACGTAAAATATACAGACTCCCAAGATGACGGTAGCATTCAATTAATATCTACACTACCATCATTAACATCATTAATATTAACATCAACATCAACTTGACAATGATGATGATAAAGAAAATTAAAAAAATATCACTTGTGACAACATCATCATCAAAACAATATTGTTTCCCATATAAAACCTCCGAGAACCTGATGTATATTAAATAAGTAAATATGTTATTATAATTGTTACATATATTACAGCAATTGACAAAATCAAATCATTATCGAATATGGAAAGAATGAAAAAAACAAAAAACAAATCATGATTTCAGCAACAGTTTACAATATGATAGATAAGAATCTTATAATTACCCAGCAAATTCTGCTCCGCGTTTTGATTCCATTATTTATTTTTATAAACTAAGGCACCACATTATATCTATACAAATAAAAAAAGTATCTCTGGTTAGTTATTAACACGTCTTCAGAACCAAACCATACCAAACAACAACTCTCACATTTCCTTATCTTGGACTCTGTAAAAAATAAGATTAATTTTCAAAAAAAAATCGATTCTCTTTACATAGTCAAAGAAATGGGGTGCATTGGCTTAATTCTCCAATCCAAAAAGGAGGCCCCATGAGACTTTGTACGACGCCAAGTCGCTCCAAACGAATATCATTTAGGTCAGATAACATTAGTCATAGGATAATTCACATTAGCACGCTTAATTATTTATCAACAAGTTACATTTTTGCTTCAGTTTATGTTGAAGAAAGTATAATGAACAAAATAATGACAGAAGAAAAACAGAAACTGAAGGAATTTTTACAAGCAAGTGAAGGTAAGGGACAAATATCACCAATGAGAGGTACATTATTTGAGGGTGTTGCACACAGATGTCTCCAAAACGGTGGAGCATTCACTGTATGTAGTTTGGAGAATAATACATCCTTGCCAATGTCAATAGTTCTGCAACAGAGACCTCTCAAGTGGATTCATATATTCAAGATATTTCTCTAGACCATTACAACCGTCAAATTTTCCAAGCAATGATGCAATATTTCCATCGAACTATATCTTCCAAATTACAATTTCAAAAAATCGTGCAATAAAATGGGCAGCATTAGAAGCAAATTAGCGAAACATTGGATTTTATTTTGTTGTTCCTGAAGACAAGTTTGGTAACTATCCAGTGCAAAATTTCCTAGATCAAAATGGAAAGGTGAAGAAGATTAATGGATTAATAATGTCAAAGGTTAAACAATATGTACTTGAGATCCCTTATGCAGCATTGATTTAAGGTGATATCAGGTAACTATCAAAGTGCATTTATATTTTTAGGTTGATTTTGATTTGAATTAGTGTGATGCTTGTTAAAGCCATGTAATGCTTTTTTTTAATTTTAAAGTCAAATAATCATGTCAATACTGTTTTTTTTTTTGCTTGTTTATACTTGGGAACAAAATTTAACAATCAATAAAGAATCATGCACAGTTGTTTATCTAACTTGCTAAATTAAGTTTGTATTATTTCCACGATATTCTTTTTTACAAATCTCTAGCTACAAATGATATGTTATTGAATATCCATGTCACAAATAAAAATAGGAAACAAAGTGGTCTCAATTAAACATTACGATACACAGTGAGTCTCGGTATAACTGATATGTTTGTTCCAGGAAATTTATCCGCTATACCGAGTCATCCGTAATACCGAGATATCCATAAAAAATCGAATTTTTGATTAAATCATGTGATACATGTTGCGTAAATAATTTTATTTTTAAATAATATGAATGCAAATAATAATGATGATAATAAAAATACATTTGATAAAAAATTTAAAAAAAAACAATTCATTCACTTAAAACGTTGACATTATAACAATCTTCCATTATTGTTTGCACTTGTTCTTGAGAATTTTTGTAAGAAATTTCACTTTTTAATCTTTTGACATTTCTAATTACTTGAAAATCAATATCTAAAATTTTTTGTTGTACATATTTAAGTATAGTTTCCGGAGCTTTTATAGCTTCCATATTAATGATCATCAGCTCAGGTTCATTTGTTTCATCGTCATCAACTTCACTTTGTCCTTTTACAATATTTACGATTTAGCATATAAAGAAATAAAAGGAAATGACATATTGATAGTGTCATTTCCAAGAAATAGCTAGAAATATGTTAGATTAAATTGTGAATGTATTTTACATTCTTAATATTAATATTTAATAATTGCGCGTCATTACTCTTGTTGGCCCAAAATAGTAAAGACCATCATTATCCACAATATCAAGAAAAATTTGGTTTTGAAAATTTATCCACTAAACCCCCAAATCCACTATCTATACAGAGAATCACTGTGTAATCTAATTAATTTGCATCATTCATTGATCGATTTCGGTGAACACAACAAATTAATGATATCAAGATATATTATCAAATTTATATAAAGCAATTTAAATGGCATAAAAAAAAAACGTGTATTAAAAAAAAATATGATTGATACAACCAATCAAAAAAATTTTTAATATAAATAGATAAATAATAATTTTTAAAAAAAAATTTCTTCTTGAAAATAATAACAATAGTAATAAAATATTTTAGAAAATGCAGTTCAAGAATGCAATTTACGTTACAGGAGCAGATAGTCGAATTGGTTAGTTTTATATAAAATTAATTATAGCACTCTCGCAATAATAGTTTTATTAACAATAAATTATAAATTATTTATTAGGTTCTTTTATAATAGATAGTCTTGTAGAAATGCAAAATCTTCACCTACATTTACAAAAAATACCAGTATATGCTGGGGTAAGTCATCAAACAATTCAATCTTCTACTATATTAGAAAAGGAAGGTACTATTGCAGTAGAGATTGATCCAATAAATAAACCAGAAACCATAATACATGCTTTAAATAATGTGTCCAAGTTATTATTGTTGGTTGATCCACTTGGTGGTGAAATCACTCATAATGATGCATTTACATTTGCAAAAGGGTAAATATAAATTTTTTGGGGGATAAAAATTCTTTTATTTTCAAATAATCAAACAATTATTATTATTTTAGCTATATAAATGCTGCAAAAGAAGCAAATGTTGAACATATTGTATTTCCAACACCATTCACCAAATTGGATACACCATACTCACCGCCACCTACACCAACTGAAGAGAATAATAATGACAATGAAATAATTAATAATAAGAATAGATCTTATAGAAGTCAATTTGAATCTATTGAATCTTTGCTCAAGGAAACTTTTCAACCATCACAAATCACAATATTAAGATATCCTGGTGTATTGCATCAACATTTATTATACTTTGCCAAATATATTATTGAACAATCAACAATCCCACTGATAGACAATCCACAAATGACTTTTGAATGTTGTGATATCAATGATGTTGCTAGATCATGCTGTCACATACTTTACTGTCCTCCACAAAGGCATGGAGGGAAGGAATACAAAATAACTGGCCCAAACTTACTTACTATTGATGAAATTGGATCAAAAGCATCATTAGGTCTTGGTTGTGATATTAAGATAAAATTGATGCCTGTCAATCAATTAAAGCAAGTATTGATGGACTTGACTGCTGACAATAAACTAACTGCTTATTTGTTGGAATTATGGGGTTTGCAAGGTTATTTGGGGATTTCTCATAAATTACAAGTAACAAGAGATCTTGAACTTATAACAGGTGGTGGTGGTTCAAACCTAAGAGAATTCTTTGAAAACAATAAAATTGCATTTAACCAACAAGAATAAGTACAGGAAGAATAATAGCAACAATAACAATTAGAATAATATTAACATTAATTAGTTTGATGATACATTTTACAAAATATATTATATAGATTTATATTATTTGGATTGATAATTATAATAATAACATTTTAATAATGAGCTAATATGTCTAATTTTTTATCTAGATGTTTTATATTGTAAAATTGATTATTTTTTATATAAACCATGCATTTGTACATATTCCCTATAATATATTTACATATAAAACAATTTATAAATTTTTTCAATATAATACAATTATAATAAACATATAAATACAATGTATATTCACATATTTATTAATTTTATATATAGTTTGAAATAATGATTTTACTTGTAGATAAAGTTGCTGCTCTTCAATTGAGAGTTTTAAAAACCAAATTATTGTTAGATATAAAGGTGGATGACAATGCATAAAACAAAATTTTATAATGTTTTAATTGGAACAACAGGTTGATACTTATTTATTTTATTAAACAACTTTTTTAAATATCTAAGGTCCAGACCATTAGAAGATGACATTTGTTAAGTATATTACTAGCTATATGCATTTTTATTATTCTCAAATACCCAATTAAACTAAAAAGAACAACAATACCCATCACCTATGATCTGTATGATCTGCATGTCAATATGTATTAGCAATAATAAGCATTTGCAATGTGTATATAGGACATACTGCAACAAAAAGCATTGTGGACATTTGATTTCATTGGCTAAATTATGTGACAATCTCCCCTCCAGATATCACGCAAAAATTAAATTTTATTGGCTTGAAGATCGTTACGCAAATTTGAAAAACAAATATTAATATCGGAGAGAAGGAAATTTAGTTCCAAATTGATAAAAATAAAATGTTATATGGTGCGGGACCTCTTAAACCACCATTTACTGCGCCTCGAGGCCAAATTTCAAAAATGGGTCAAATTTTAAAAATTTTCAATTCATCTAAAAATGCAATAATATTAACTCCGAAATGTTACACAACATCAATTTTATTATTTTAAAGGTATAAAATAATTTATATAAAATAATTTTAATTATTAATATTATTAATATTGTTTGGAATTTTTCTGTGAGATTTGTATTT